AGGCCAGTGCTCTGTTCTCTGGGAGTTGTGACCCTTTCCTGACCCTCAGGAAAGATTATTAGTCCTGGAAACTAGGCATTTCTTTCAAAAAGCAGAAGATAGAAATAAGATTGGGATCAAATGCAAGAAAATGAACAAATAAAATGATGCAATATTTCATAATCTGGCGAGTACTGGAAAAAATTCTAATTTGACCCTTATTTTCAAAATATATTTTGAAGACAGACATTCAGACATTATCTGTCCCACTATAAGAACATAGAGGACACACTTAGAGGCAGATTCCACTCAGCTCTTCTTTCTAATTTATGATATATTTGTTGGTGGAATTTGGTTTCAGCATTATGGTTTTTATGATTCTTTCGGATCATTTGGATTCTGACATAAATCTTTCTTGACACTGTTGGTCCTGTCCATTTGAGTGACAAGTAAATGCATGCAGTAAAGTAGTTTAAGGAACATTGGGTTTGAAATTAAAAGGCTGGGGTATAGAATTTTGCTCTTTGCTCTGCTATTTACTTGCTGTTTTGTTTTGTTTTGTTTTGTTTTGTTTCTTTTAACCTTGGCTAATTCAGTGTCCTCCTAGTATAATAATTGGCACGTAGTAGTTGTTCAGTATATGTTTATTGGGTCTGAAAACAGGAATGACAGCTTGTTTTTCAGAATGCTGGAGATAGTAATTCTGGAATCCTCTAGATCTGAGTGGTTCTCTATCTTACTTCCAACCTAACATGTTCATTCCATTAAGAGAGTTTTTTTGTTTATTTATTTGTTTTGTTTTGCTAAATAGCTCAAAGGTAATGATAAAAAGGGGCGGAGAAGAGAAAACTGAGCAGGAAGGCAAACTCTGTCTGGGAGCTGCTACTTTCATATATTTTATACTCCTCACTTTGTCTTTGTGTCCTCTGCCCCATAGCTATTAATAATTATGTTAACCCAGTGTGGCATTCATCTAGGAAGGTGGGTCACTTGTCTGTATAAAAAGAATATGGTTGGCAGGTCCACTTGTGATGCAGGCAGTAACGTTGGGGGTGAGGCTGGTGTAATAGATTTAATCACATCTTATGGGAATGAGACCAGATGTTATACAAAGGTCAATGAAGGGATTTCTCACAACATATGGGTAGACAGTGCACAAGAGAATGAATCTAATTTTTAGTTTTATTTGTAGATGTATTTTGATAAGAAGAGTTTCTTCTGAACACTCATGGGTACATTGTTGATTATGTCTGGGCGACTATTTTGTGCTAACTGAACAGAAATAACTAGTGAGAGTTGTTGCAGACAGAACTGTCTTTATTATAAAACAGATGCAGAGATGCAGTGTGGCATTATGCTTGCAAGCATTCTGAGGATGTGTAAGAGTTTGTAGAGTTAATATTAATATTTAGTTCAATTCTATATATAATCATTAACTTTTATGGTCTACAAATTCTACCCTTGCAAAGATTTTGGGGGGGGAGGACTTTACTTCCCATTTCACTCTCATTCTCTTCCTTGTATCTCTTTCTTCATTGTGCTATTCTTCCCTCTAGATTCTTAATTCAGGAGGGGAGCTAACCTTAATATGCTAATAGAAAGTCAAAAAAAACTGAGAAGAGAAAATATAAGGAATTACAATCACAAGTGAGGCAATAATATTGTTTTATTAGAACATTAGAACCCTGCCTAAAGAGATTTGGCACTGTAGATATTGTGTAAACTGCAGGCAAGCTATGTACGTATTGTCCAACTGTCGAATATAGTTATCAGAATAAACAATTTCACAACTTCACTGTATTCTTGATTCCAACGCTCTGAATTTAGTAAAGCATCGCACTGAAGTGAGAACTTGAAATCTACCAATGATTTATTCATTGTCTCTATTACCATTGTATAAAAACAAAATTAAAAGTTTTATTTTGAAAAAAAGTGATACACAGCAAAGAAAATTAAACCTGCTTAAGAATTATAAGGAAGGTAGATCTTTTCCACATAACTCATGGACCACAGCTGCTCAGACAGGTACTGTGAACATGGACTTGAGCACTGGAGCAGAAGTCTTAGGTAGAAGGGAAGTCTTTAAAAATACTTTGAAAAACAATGGCATGACAAGATAAGGCATGTGGGATAATGTTTTATATACTTAAGGATTTTGCAATCCAGTTAAGAGAAAAGCAATGCCAACGTACATTTTTTTTTTTCTTTTTTAACACAGTGAGAAAACTCTAGATGTAATTGAAGGGGACCGTATATTGGTCATATTGCATAGAAATGTTGCTCAGGAACATTCTCCAGATGGTCAGATGGGTTAGAATCTAACCCATAGGAAGGGTCGTCCTAGAAGGTTTTGGCATTTAGGCATGTCTTTTCTCAGCTTGACACAGAATGGGGAGGAAAAATCATGTGGTTATTGAATGTTCTTTGCAGGGAGAAAAAAAAATGTGCAGAGGAGTATTATTGTTATAAGCGAATATGAGTATCTTCTGATAGAAGTGCTTTGGTGGGCTCTGTGAGGTAAGGTTTCCTGTATGGGCTTTCATGGATATGTGGATATGCCTGGTGTTTATATCTTAAAATTTCTAATTATTTGGTATATCCCATATACCTCTAGCCAAACTGCAATCATTGGAAAGAGCTTATTGTACAAACAGCTGCAAAGCAATTTATTGAGTGGGACTCACCACACTATACCTTTGTTTTCTTGCTCCAGCATCCCATTTCATTTCATCCAGCATCCTTAACCTATCTATGCACAAGTAAAATGCTTTTCAGGAAATGCAATTAAAACTCATATTGTATCCAAAGGTGGATGCTCTGTAATGAGTGTGATATCCAGGTGCAGGGTATTAGGAACATGGATATGAGTCATTGGGTGTACGTACGCCTATAGTTGAGAGTGGCCCACCATGAACAGCTCTTTGTGGGGATACACGTACACACAGGGCTTTAACTGACTTCCTTCAAAGTGTTATTACTGGGTATGTGGCTTGGTGTCTGGGCAGAGCTCACAAGTTTGAGCTGGCTGCTCACTTGACCTTTCTTCCACTCGTACTATGGTAAGAGAGATCATGCTCACAGAAGTATTCCTCAGAGAGTCAAACTAATTAAACTGGCTGTTCCTTGAATGAAAATAATTACATATGATAATGCACTGAAAAGGAAGTAAGAGGAAAGGAAAATAAGAATGAGAATGGCAGTGAGAAATTTTCAAATAGCTTTGAATTCCCCTGGCTGAGCTAATGTTTATTTTTAAGACCTTCTCCTTCACTCCACTCTCTCAAGGTTCTGTGTTTCTTGCCCTATCATTAGTTTTTTTCCTTTCATATGGTCTTGTGGAATTGTAAAAACTTTCTCGACTACCTTTCACCTTGTCTTTTTGGCTTACAAACTAAATGAGATTCTGATGTCTTATTTTTCACTGACTTCATAGATACCTTGCTATGTACAAACCCAGAGGTAACAATTTCCCTATCCTCTCTGCAATTTTTCTCCTTCTGGCTACTCCTCTGTTTACTTGGGCTTCAGTCGACCAATCACACATCTCTCTTCTGAGTTGTAAGAAAGTTATTTAACTCTCATCTACCCATACAAGTTCATGGAGCTCCAGGGACAGTGAAAAGGGGGCCTGGCTGGAGTTTGGAAACTTCTTTACATATGTTTCAGACTCTGCCTCAATAAGTAGCATTGTGGTTATTGATATTGATAATAAAACACAACATGTAATAGAAGACAGCATAACATGGCTAGTGTAACACATGTACAATATAGTATATCACGTAAGTTACAATTCTGGTTTTAAAAATTTTACATTGTTATCAAATCACTACAAAGTAGATCACATATTTAGGATTACTTGGACAGTGGAAAATCACCATATTTTGTTTCAGATCAATCAGAATTAAAGTAGGCTTTTCTGACCATACAGCCCCAGGAGACTCTTCTTAACAAAGGGCAAAATAAAGTTTCTAGATGGATGGAAGAGTGGTAATCATCAGTTCTCTTCAAAAAGAAAGACCTAGATTTTTGGAGGTGTCATTTCAAATATATAATGATTATATAGAATTAAAAGTGATTCACATAAAGAATCTCTGGCCAGATTAAATAAGAAACGAGTAACTATAGTCTGCTTGGAGGAGAACTGGGAACTGGATACATGGAAAAGAATGGGTTGAGAGAAAGATTTTTATGATATATCATGTCACATTTTTACTTTTGAACCATATGAATGAATTTCCTTTTTGTTTAAAAGAGAGAGAGAGGAAGAGAAGATGGCTTGGTACTGACACTCCTTTTATATACTGGTAAGAACGAGTGTCTGCATCTATCTATATATGAAGGGCAAAAGAAAATCCTTGGAGCTCTGAGAGCTGCAGAATTAAATGATTTTTATTGATAAATGCTGCTGTTCATTGGTTTTGAGGCTGCAGTGAGAGAATGTTTCAGAGAAAGAAAGCAAATGCATAATTCATCTCTCTTGGAATCTGTCCACTATTTACTCATTATCTTTGTTAGCTTTGCATAAAAGTTAAATTAAATGTTTTGTTTAAAAAAGTAAATGATACATGGCAAAAGAAAATTAGATCTGGTTAAGGACTACAGAGGAGGTAGATCTTTCCTACATTACTCATGGACCACAATTGCTCAGACAGTGAACATGTGCTTGAGCACCAGAGCAGGAATCTTGAGTAGAAGGGAGCCTTTAAAAATACTTTGAGAAACAATGGCATGAAAGGATAAGACAAGATCAGGCCTGTACTTGCTGTATAAAAGAAGAAAATGCCAGAAAAAATAAAGTTCTCCCAGCCTGAACATCAGGTAGATGGACAGAGATAAATGTGTAGCTCAGAGTTCCAGGTAGCCATGTACTTAACACCTAGTGATGTGTAGATGTGTTTAAAGTTCTCTGTGTGCTCCATTTTATTTTATTTTTCAGAATAACTCAATCCTTGGGAATTATTCTCAGCTGTGCTCTGTGCATTGTCTATGGCTCAAGCTTAGACGTGGACAGCTTTGGGGCAATGGGAGATGAAAAAGACATGACACAGCAATGCAGTCTCAATGACAAGTTGTGTAGTAAGTACAGACACTACAGATGTCTATCTTCTGATTTAAGGATAATGGAGACTAGGATCTGGATAGATTCTAGGAGGAGAATGATTTGATTTTTAGTAGAAATAAAGACAGTGTTGATAAAGAAATGGGCACTAGAGGCCATTGTCTTTGAAGGGTGGCAAGTGCCAGTCAGATCTAGATGCTGCATTCTTCATCTCAATTGGAAAAATGAGAAAAGAGTCACAGAGCACACTTGGGCTAAGAAACAGGGACACTAGCATTTCTGATTAGAAAGTTGCTCCCAGTAAAGATTTCATCGAATGGAAGTAGAGCAGAAGAAGAAAGAGATGATCATTTTAGCATGATGAGCTGAGGACTGGTGGGTAGGGGAAGTTGTGTAGACATCAATTTCTTCTATTCCTGTTTAATTTCCTACTCAGTTATCCAGGAGCAGCAGTATGAAATCATCATCATTCCAACCCTTCTGGTTGCTGTCTTCCTCATCCTTCTTGGAGTCATCCTGTGGCTTTTTATCAAAGGAAAACGATCTCAACAACAGTCTTCTGGACTCCAAGGTAAAGCTCAAACTGGGGGACTGGACATAGGCTCAAGGAAGATGGAGACTGCATAAAAATAAAACCCAAGTCTCAATGGGCCCAGGTATAGAGAGGTCTAGGTCCTTACAGTGGAAGAAGGGGCATGCGTCCCCTACTGTGCAGTTGAGAGGGGGATGAGATCTTTCCTAGAAAGTCATGAGTAGAAACTCAATATACGTTTGTTAGTTGAAACAAGAATAGGCAAGAGAGGCTCATGTAACCTGTTTATCAAATCTTTGACTACGTGAATGTCTAAGGATCTAGGAGGAAGACCTAGTTGGTAAAACACAAGGCTTCATTATCAGCTTTGAAAGGTGACATTTTACTCTATAATACATTCCAGCCCTATTCTGTGCCCTTGGAATATATGATGAAAAGGAGTAGCTTTCATAATAGTCTTAAAAGTGTTAGGTAGGAGATGATTACATGCTGTTTTGGAGTACTACTGAACATATAATGAAAGAGAATCAGCTCATACATGAAATTAAATGGAAAAAAATAAGAAAAAAATCTGACAGTAATATGAAACTTTATAGTGGCTGATCCCTAATCCCTCCTAAATTTTATCCCAATCTTTTTAAAATTCACTCTTACAGATAAACATCTCAAAGAAGTTGTCTAAACTCACTCTCACTACTTCTACTTGTCACATTCTCTTTCGAATATATTAAAATAAGGCTTTTATCCCCACCACTCCACCCAAAGAACTCTTTCTAAGATCACCAATAACCACTATGTTGAATCTTCATCTTACTAACCTGTCAAAAGCACTTGAAACAATTTTGTATTTTTTCCTTCTTGAGACATTTTTTCCTTTAAATCTCTAGTCGCTTCCTAGATGATCTCATTTTAAGTCTATGGATTCAAATGCTTTCTCTATTTTGATTATGGTTCCCTTTAACTCCAGATTCTTATATTAAACTACTTACTTTGCAGTTGAGATCACATATACACCTTATATATAATATATCTAAAACGAAGGTCCTGAAATTCTTTCACAAATATCTTCTACCAACAGTCTTCCCTATCTTAGTAAATGGCAAGCTAGTGTGTTCTATGTGTTCAGTCTAAAATATTAGAGATATCCTTGACTCTTCTCTCGGTCACACTCCATATCCAACCAATTAGTAAATCCTGTTGCCTCTATCTTCAAAATAAACTCATGCCACTTCACCTTTCATACATCATTGTAATGTACTCCTACTTGGTTTCCTTGCTCTGCCCCTATTCCTTTATGGTCTATTCTTTTTTTTTTTTTTTAAGTGTAAGTCAATCCTGTGTATTCTTTGCTTGAAACTCCCCAGTAGCTTCCCATCTTAGAATGAAAAAAGACAAAATTCTTTCAATTGCCTTACATGATCTGGGCACTCTCTGGTCATAACTCTCCAATTACCTCACTTGATTCCAGCAGCACTGAATCCATTTTATTCTTTCTCACATACGCCAAGTATGCTCCTTCCTCAATACCTTTGCACTTCTTGTTACCTTTTTCTATAATACTCTTCCTGATACCTGTATGGTTTGCTCACTAATTGCTTCCAGGTGTTTCTCAAATGTCATCAAAGGCTTTTCCTGACCTTCAAACATAAAACAGCATCAATAATTCTCTTAATTACCTGCTATATTATTATCTTCTTCCTCTTTCCTACCACTGGAAAGTAATCTTCATAAGGAACTGGACTTTGCCCATTCCCAACACCTAGAACAGTGTTTGGCATGTAGGAGGTGATATTTATTAAATAAATGGATGAATTAATTAATGAATGGAGATTTAACAAGAAGAATAAATCTCTCTCTATTCCAGTGGAGAAAAATTGGCTAAGGAAGGGGGAAAACTTTTCAGTCAGAAAACTTTTCTGACTGAAACTAGGAAATATGGAATAGTTTGACTATAGAGACAACTTGAGGGAGGAAGAATAACCAGCCATAGCTGAGAGTTGAGTAGTTACCTATACCTCCTCTCTACCTTTGGGAGCCATTTGATTAACTTAAATGATAGTTTCCCCACTGGCAGTTACCACCACCTTTAGGTATCTGTGGTTTGAATATCCATTCAGGAACCTCCTTAATTGTCTCCATACTATATTCATACTGAACTGTGATCCTGAGAAAGACACAAATAAAATGCCATTACCACTTTTCAGAGATCCATCCTGAGTTGTCTTAGAAGTAATGGAATGCTTATATAAGGTTGGTATTGATGCTGGTTCATAGAGAAGCATCAGAAGGTATCCGTACAATGGCCAGAGAAAAAGTCATTATAGGAACTTCTTTGACAGTTTGTTGCAAGCTCTGCTTTCCTGGGGTCAAGAGGGTTGGTAGGATAAAGCTGGTTGGTATCATATCTTTGTTCTAGGCATTGCTCCTGTGCCCCCATCTGGGAGCCTAAACAGAGAAGCAGGAGAACATGGAGGAAGTGTGTTTGTGCCACTTACGGGAACATCGGTGGAAAGCCTTCTACAAACTTCCACACATGCCCCACACATGGCTAAGCTGCAGGTCCCCCGGGACCAACTCTCTGAACTTCTGGAGCAGATCTACAATGGTAGTTGTGGGGCCATCTATCGAACCAAGATGTACACTGGAGACCCTCCTAAGTCCAAGAGTATTGTCCTCAAGGTTTTAAAAGGTAAAAGGAGAAGTGTTGGACTTCCCTTTCCCTTTTTGCTTCTCTACTGTGAACACCTAATAGTGAATGCTAACATGCTTTGCAGACATTAAGATGTTAGTAGATAGTTGTGATTACAATTGTGTGCAAAATAAGAAGGGAATAAAAAATGAAAATGTGAGATAGAAATGTTATTCTTGGGGTCTTCTCTAGCTCAGTCTTGCCTATTGAATTGGTTCAAACTGATTTTTCCATATTGGATATTACTTGGATGAGGATTTTGAGGTTGTTTCTTCATTTTTCTTTACTATATATCTTTCCCTGATACTGTGTTTCTCTTTTTTTTGCTGATACTCATGATATGGGCCAGTAATGGTGGATGCATAAAACAGAGATAAGACAAGCAAGAGTAGTAATCAAAAGGCCTAGACCATAATACTTTAATGTGAACAAAAGTCATACCCATTTAGGCAGATGAAAGCCTACTCAGTCCTAAGATCTAATTGGTTCCCTTCTTACTTACTTTTTCTCTATGCTCACTCCTCTTTAGAGAATTATCATCTGAGGTTGCTTCCTGCCTCATACCTCCCATTTTATCTGCCATGTTCTGACTGTTCACTGCCCATGGCTCTTCTGTTCTCCACAGAGCCAGCTGGGCTCCATGAGATCCAGGATTTCTTAGGGCGAATTCAATTCTATCAGTACCTGGGGAAACACCAGAACCTGGTACAGCTGGAAGGCTGCTGCACAGAAAGGCTGCCGCTCTATATGGTGTTGGAGGACGTGGCCCAGGGGGACCTGCTCAGCTTTCTCTGGACCTGTCGCCGGGTGAGCAGTAGGGTAGAGATGTTAAGAAGGAAAGACTTGACCTGGCTGATTAGCTATTCACATGTCAATTAACCTGAAAAATGACAATTAGGAGACATTATAATAGCATAACAGAGTGACATAGTATCACCATCCAATAGAACTTTTTATAATAATAACATTATTCTATATCTACTCTGTCCAGTATGGTGGCCACTAATCTCATGTAGCTATGGAGCACTCGAAATGTGGCTGACGTGACTGAGAAACTGAATTTTTAGTTTTATTTCATTTTAAATATTACACATTTAAATGTTCACAGGTATCTAATGGCTACCACATTGGGCACTACAGAATTAGAGTATATACTTTAAGCTCCACCTCCTACTAGCTATGTGACTTGGGTAAGTCACCTCTCTGAACTCAAGTTTTTAAAATCTGTAAAATAGGAGTAATAATAAATTATTATTAACATTAAAAGTAATTATGTATGTAAAAACAGCAGTGATTAGTACATAGCAAGCACTCAAAATGGTAGTCATTATAACATTTACATAACAACATAACTATTGTTAGTATTGATAGTAATTTCATTGTTAGTGGTGTTGAGTCTTCTATTCTGTAATATCACTTTAGTATGCCAGGGCTTACTTAAGGAGAAATTCAGCTTTTAAGGTTTTGTACCTCAAACTCATATTAAAAAAACAATTTCTGGACTAAAGTGCATATCCTTTTGTTTATAATTTCTCCGCTTCTCTCTATATTTCTCATTCTGAAGTGCTACATTTCCATAGTTAGTTCTTCACTTGCCAATGAACAAGTTCAATGTTAATCAATGTGCTGATTATTTTACTACTAAATGTGTATGAAAAAGGGACCCTGTTAATGTTTCCCTTCCAGTGATGCAAATAGGATAACGTGCAAGTTTTAGGCATTTTAAACTTTTTAAAGAGGTTGTCTATCTGTAACTTGTTCTGTGCTCTAATCTCACTAGCTTCTTCCTATTTTTCAAAATTATTGTGCTTCTCTGTTTTAGATCATCTTCACATGCTTTTCTCATTACACTAAACTTCTCCCTTCTCCCCTTTGTATAGTCAATGGTCACCCATTCTTTACATCTCATCAAAAGCTTTCCTTGCTCCTCCAACTGGATCAGCTCCTTTTTTTCCCCACCATCATAGACTCCCTTTTACATTTCTTTCTTGGCATTTATAGACATGTAATTGTATATTTATATATAGTTATTTGGTTATGATTCATGCATGTTTGCCATACTGTAAACTCCAGAAGGCAGCAGACATGTTTATTTCACTCATTCTTATATTCCTAAGATAGAATCTGGCACATAGTAGGCATTTAATAAAGATGTATTGAGTTAATGTGCTTAATTAATTAGACACACACTACCTCAGGAAAACTGATGCTTTATCCAGTGAATAGTCTTATATATACCAGTAGGTAGTCTTACATATACTTGTTTTTCTTACTTGCTATTCTGTTCTTCCTTCATTCATTTACATTCTTTGTTATTTTTTCAGTCCAATAAATCTTTATATTTCTCTACATATCTGAGAATCTCTCATATCAGTCTCTCCTTGAATCTTACAGTTCTCATGTTTTTGTATCTTTTCCTTAGATTTGATATCTGCATTTAAAAATATCTCTGCCCATTTTTTTTCAAATCTGTTCACATCATTTTGATATGTTTTTTCTCTGTCTCTTTAGGATGTGATGACAATGGATAGCCTTCTCTATGATCTCTCAGAAAAACAAATATATCACATTGGAAAGCAGGTCCTCTTGGCTTTGGTAAGCTGGGCAAAATTACAACAGGTAGTAGGGATTTTTCTTGTTAGCCTGGTATTTGATGTCATATTTTCCATATTTATAATCTCAAATAGGGTATATATTATTTTAAAAATCAGATGGAAGTTAGGGGGCAGAAATTCAAGCATTGATGAATTATTTTCAGTTCTTTATGAAATCATTTAGTAATATACCTCAAGATTGGTAATTCTAGGCAGAAAGTAGTCACTTTAAGGTTTTTAGAGGAATAGGAAGGGTTTTAAAAGATTTCTTAGTCTTAAAGGTCAAAAACTAGGGCCAAAAGCTATATTTCCATTTGCTTGATACTCTTACTTCCTCACATATATTAATATTAATAGATGTAAAAGGGACAAATAAGGGAGCAAGTTTGGAGAAGATATGGGACGATAAACAGAATGGTTAAAGGCTACAGAACCAAAAGGAATTATATAATTTTATGCCTGAAAAACAAGAAGCGCTAGTTCAGAACATGTTTGGTTGAAGACTTGCTTTGATACTGAATGTGATAGGGAATGCATATACTTCAAAAAGAATGAGAAACAGATAGAAGAAGTGGAATAAAAAGGGGCATTGGTGAGATCATTCCTTTATTTTTAACCAACTTAAACAAAAGAGGTAAGAGAAAGACCTCAGGGTTGAAACGAAAAAAATTTACCCTTACCAGAATTACTTAGGACATTTAGATGACTATTTCTATGAATTTTTTTAACTTAGATAATTGTGTTTAAAATAGCGTTTACTATAGAAAATCAGGGCTCTGTGAAACTACTACTTTAAGTGTTTGATATATCATGCCAGCTGAAGGTGTGAAATATACCAGGGATCTAAACAGAATCAGAGAAAGCTTAGAAGAAAAGTAATGAGGTGAGAAAAGAACAATAGTTATAGTTGAAGTCCCCATGGGAGAGCCCATCACATAAATCAGTATTATCTACGGTGCTTGGAGGGCCTAACTGGTAGTTTCCTTGATAAAGTTAGAGTGTCAGGATACACCTTACCTTGTATTCTGAACCATAATTGCAGAGGGGCCCCACTGGGATCCATTGATCCCAGTGATGCATTCATCAGAGCCCTAGGTTACCAGTTATACGAAATATCATACTACTCTTACTTTTCACAACCTTGAAGCCACTATATTCTTCAGTTCTTCTCATTAACAGTATAATTTCTTTGTTCTAAAACCTCACCAGAGACAAAAACTGCTGGTCATTGTTTCCTTTATCATCAATGACTGGAAATTACCACCTTGATCTTTTATTTTTTCATATGGTTCTTGTTTAGTAATCAATCTCTAGCTCTTTAGTCACGTATAGCTTTTCAACTTCTCCATATGCCTTGAATAGCATGATGTTGGGGGAAATGACTCCAGCAAAACAATGTCATCAGGTTCAATGGTTCTCCAATGCCTCATTGGCTATGCTAGAATCATTCTGATACTTCTTAAAAATATAGGTTACCAGGTTCTTCTTCCTAGATTTTGGTTAAGTAAACCAGGGGTGAAAATCTTATGTTTTTAAAAAGCTATCAGGCAATTCTGATTTTCAGCCTGGCTTGAGAATTGTTAGTAGAATTTGTAGTACTTCCAATGAATTAGAATACCTGTTTCTAGTTGCTACTCCTTAATAATGGTGACTTTGTGTAATCATTTAGACTTATCTAAAAGATACTTCCCTAACTTACCTCATCTAGTTATTTTAGGGACAAAACTAGATGATATAAAACTCTGTATAAATTTATTATTACAACACTCAATTATTCTATGTATGTATTACCTTGTTTGGGGGACTGGTGCTAAAAACTTGAAACCTACTCCATTTTCCAGTGTTTAGATGGGTCCAATCTGAGATGAAGGTGAAATCAGGCAGAGGTTAGAGCTTGACACACAGTGGATTATACTTTCCAAACCCAGTATTAATTTCAGCTTGGTAATCCTAAACACAATGCAAAATGTGTGATTTATTGTCATGACTTGGAAGTGATATGTCCTTATTAATGAGACTTGTTTGGAATAGCAAATGTCCTTGTCTTTTTGAGGATTCTTGGGCTGCTTCTCCTTGTGTGAGACCCAAGCTGTGACCCCAGACAGCTGATCTATCTTTGGTCTTATGTTGACAGGAATTTCTCCAGGATAAGCATCTGTTCCATGGGGATGTGGCAGCCAGGAATATTCTGATCCAAAGTGATCTTACCGCTAAGCTCTGTGGACTGGGCCTGGCTTATGAAGTTCACACCCAAGGGGCCATCTCCTCTACTCGCATCATACCTCTCAAGTGGCTTGCCCCAGAACGGCTTCTGCTGAGACCAGCTGGCATCAAAGGAGACATGTATGATTTGTTCCTGTAATTTAGGTTTCTCCTTTTTTTGACCTAGGTGTCCTCTATTCCCTTACGATGACTGAGTCTGTTGTTAATTATGTCTAACAATGAAATCTCTGCTTAGACATCAGACAGACTCTCAAGCAGAAATGTGTATTATGTGACAGAGCTCGTATCTGGCATCTGGCTGCAATCGTTTTTAGTGCTTTTTGAAGCGTCTCTTCTGTATTAGATTAGCAGCCTTAATTAGGAAAGCAAAAAGAAAAATGAAAAGATTATTCATACTGATATCTGAGGACTTCATTAGAGTCCCTTTTATCTGAAGGAGGTGGGTTCACTTAATCAAGAGTTCAGTTAAACCAAGAATTATTAAAATAATTGTACATGCCTTGAATAATTTATTTTAACTTAAAACATATAAATGGATATTTGTTTATTGATCTTTTGGAGGAAGGCCAAGGCCTTTCTCTTTTTTTAAATGAGGATGAACCTTTTAAGTGAAGTTATATTTGCTTCTTAGAATGATTCTCAGTGAGAAACTTGAAAATAATTATAAAGCAATTTGCAGACATTTATTGTTATTTTTCCCAATTTTTTACAGTTGTCTCACCCACACAATTTGACATCACCTTCTTTTTAGGAGTTTATTTTTGTAGAATATTTTCAAAGCATTCATGTAGCTAATACCTTTTGCACTTATATTTAATCAGCTTGCATGATATTTAATTGATTACGTAATTATGGTTACACATATGATTGGCATAAACAGGACTGTAAAGAATCACAGTTGACTTTTGGTAACCATATAACTCAACTGATTGGAGAAGTACATAGATGTAACATAGAATATCTTACTAGCCATGAATGTCATGAGCAGCAGAGTAAATTTAGAACGTTGATATATGGTGAGTCAAATAAGAGACTTCTACTCCTGCTTCATTGACATCTGCTTTCAACAGAGGTTAGCAAGTAATAAGCCTAACCGGGAAATAGTGCTCATTTAATGATGATACTATAGAATAGTGAAATATAAATCTCTTAAGGCATATTGCTTAGGCAAATACCTATTCCAATTATGTATAAGGTTTATTTTGTTAATATTTTTCCTAGGTTTGGGACAATTAAATCTACTGAGGAAATAGTAGATAAATGATAAACCTCACTTGGCCTTGTGCTAAGAATAAAGCCTGGAATTTTAGCAGGAAGAAATGGAAAGGATGAAAAATATGCAGAGTACAATTTATCCATTAATAGTAAACATCTATTACTATGAAATATGGAAAAAAGGAGACATAATCCTGTCTCCAAAGCGATTAGACTCTCAAGGGATTGGACAAAAATGTTTTCCAATAGTTCTATTACTTGGTTTATTTTATCAGATACCCTCCGTTCCCCTTCATTACCTTTTTATAGTTCTTCTTGAGGGCCTCTGATATTTAAGTGAGCTCTCTTTAGGAAAGGCAGAAATAGAAATTAAGTAAATGACTTTGTTTCTTTTATAGCTGGTCCTTTGGGATCCTGCTTTATGAGATGGTGACTCTAGGTATGTACCTGAATGCAAGTATGTTTATTTGGGTCATAGATGACATATGCTATAAGAAGAGGTTTTAGTACAATCTCTGAAATTTGAATTGGGCTGATACGAAATCCCTTTCCTCCTTTTAACTTTCTTTTGCTTTCTTTCTCTTTCTTATCCTCAACACTTCAGCAATTTCAAGGGATGTTTTAAAATCCAAAGGATAATTCTAAGAGTGACTTCGCATAGTAAACACAAAAATGTTGTCTTCAGATTTATTAATTGATTTGATTGAGTAACTGCAGCACTTTCCCACATTTGGGGAGTGGAAGGCAGGTGTTATTTTTCACTTTGCTTTATTTTGTTACTTTCCTAAAGACTCAACAGTCTCCTAAATTTCGGTCCCCCCTGCCCCAAAATACTCCTTTTACAAAAAGTTCTCCAAGTAATCTATATCCTTACTTGATCACTGGGAAACAACTATATTGTATCTGATATTTTTCCTATGGCTTATATTTATTTATCTTTGGTAGCCAATTAGCCCAGGTGGATGAAGAGCAGTGTTATAGTTCATATTCTAGAGGACCTAAAGTTCTCTTCCTTCTCTTATTCCTTCCAAACCAACAGGGGCACCCCCATATCCTGAAGTTCCTCCTATCAGCATTCTACAGCATCTCCAAAGAAGGAAAATTATGAAGAGACCCAGTAGTTGCTCACACACCATGTAAGTAGCTCATTCCAAATATTTTTTGCTACCTATCAATCGTGCCCTTTTCAAAGTGGCTCAGATGAGCTGTCCTTGATGTGCTAATGTATATCCATAGACCAAATCTATGTAGTAAAACACATCTGCTCATTCATCATATTTGTGTGCATATATACATATATATACATATACACATTCACATACACATACACATATACATCATATATATGTATGTGTGTGTGTATACACACACACAGTGTTGAGGAAACCATTGAGAACTGTATTAGGAATCTAAATTTGGTCAAATTTAGTTCCTCCAGAAGCTTCTAAGATAGATTAGATAAGAAGTAGACCAAATCCAATGCAAGTATAGTAACGTTTTATTTGTCTAAATGTCAGTCACAGTAAGAGACTGCCAGCCTCAGTTCTAACATAGCTGCTATAAAATCCATTGCACTAGAGTGACTCACTGGCTCTTATTTAGTTTAACTTTAAAAAGTTACTATCTGTTTTTCTATCTCTGAGCATATTAGAAGCCAACCAGAAGAAGAGGGGAGGGTAGAAAGAAATTAGAAAGACAGGAGAAGGAGGGCTTAATATTGTCAGCAGAAAGGGGCAGCTGATGAACCAATGTAGATGCAAAAAATAGAAAAATTCAAAATTATGCACAGAATTTTACAACCAATAAAGTACAAAAATGGATAATTATATAACACAAGAAAAGGTTAAATTATTTATAAGAAGGCAGGAGAGAATATAATATATTAATACACATTTCCATTAAAATTGTAAATTTTATAAATTTTGTAAATTTTTCAGTATTGAAAGGGTAGATTTCCAGTACCTGGGTTTCCTTGTAATGAACATTTACTATATCAAGCAGATTATAAATGCTAACTCTCACAACTATAAAACACACACACACACACACACACACACACACACACACACACACATGCACACAAAATATAGTGATACTGGTTGGTTATACCAGAATGAAATTGATGACAAATATTTCTTGCAAACTTTTTATGTGTAAAAGGCTCTCCTTAATATTAGAGAGAGACACTTAACTGATAAAGTACCTAATTTTGAAGAACTTAACATTGGATGAGGCGATATATGAAATATCTACCTCTCCCCTCTTCCCCCACCACCTACCGTCCGGTAACCACCTGTCCATTGTCTATGTCCCTGAGTCTCTGTTTGTCCTGTTCATTTGTTTCTTTTAGGTTTATATCCCACATATAAGTGATAACATGTGATTTTCTACTTTGGGATTTGGATTTAAAGCAAACCTGTAGGAAACGATGACCACAGAGAGGATATTCAAGGAATTGGGCAGGGCATGAGTAAAGGCGGAGTTGGGTGTTTATAACCACACATAAGGCATAGCAAGACACTTGGCTCGAGGAGAGGGCTTTGGTTAGGCAAGTGGAGAAACTGGAGGGTAGAATGTTGACCATGCAGTAGGCAGTGGAAATCACTGTAGGTTCTTGAGCAGGGATGGACGTGATAAAAGTATTTGAAAACAGACAGCATGATACTATCTCTAAAGTGGATTGAAGAAAAGATAGATTAAAGTACTTTTATCCAGTATAAGGTGATTTCCTGAAGAAGCTAAATTATAAAGGGGAGAATGACCTGGATTAATTGAAAGAAACACCTAATTACATTATCCAAAATTAGAATGAACCATATTATTTCATAACTTCTTATTTTCCTGGCTCTAATGTCAATTTTACTGGTAGATAAACTGTAGCAATGATATGGAATACTGCAAGTTAGTAACATGTAAAGATGAGAACACTTAACTTCTGAAAGAGCATTTGGCAATAGAATGGGGAAAGAAACAAATTGTTCTGTCATACTGATTGTAGTTTGAGAAATCTTCAGTCATTTCTATTATTAAAAGGGCCTTGGTGAGAAGATGATATTAAGAGACTAAGTATTAAGAGGATGAGATGAATATTAACCTCTGGGAAGAATATGAGAGACAGGACAATGAGATGTAGATTAAAAAATTGCAGGTTTTTGTTGTTGTTGTTGTTGTTAAGGTTTGTTAGGACAGGAGACATATTCCTCATGCATTTGCCTTGTCAAGAATGTCAGTTTCTCTTGCTTCCCTTTCAGGTATAATATTATGAAGTCCTGCTGGCGCTGGAGTGAGGACAGCCGCCCCTCACTTAGAGAGCTATGCTCAGGCATAGAAACTGCTGCTCGAACTGCAAATGATAAAGCTGTGTTGCAGGTACCAGAGTTGGTGGTGCCTGAACTGTATGCAGCTGTGGCAGGCATCAGCGTGGAAAGCCTTTCCTACAGCTTTAACATCCTTTGAAGATCCCAGGGCAAAAACATTTATGGACAATCATATACTCTTGGAACCAATTTTTCCAAGAACAGAGAATGGACTTTCTAGTGGGCCATAAAGAGAGAAATGGGACCTGGATCGTGGATCTTCCCTTGTACATTTCCCTAGATATGTGAAATGATGCTGGATGAGACTATACACACCATATACCCTTGAGGTTAAGAAATACCGTTTCATTTCTGGGGTCTCCATCCTAAAGACTCAGGGTAGAAGTGATAGACAGTGTCACTGCAGAGGAAGTTTTAGAAATCTGCAATGTTCGCTGGGGCACGGTACAAATAAGCTGGACCCTTCCACCACAGGCTAGTTTCCTCCTGAAGTATGCTTTTATCCAGACTATTGTAAGGTCCAAAGAAATTAGAATCAAATGAGGGAATAGAAGGCCAATAAAGGACTTGACAGGATAGAAAATTAAAGGTTCTATTTGCTCAAGGGTATAGACATGGACCAAGGTCATCCTTCAAAGAGAAGATGGAGGAGGGATGCCAAGTTTCTCGGTCCTGGTCCCTTTGTGCAAGGTTGGAGGAGAACTGTCAGGGAAAGTTTCTGAGTTTTCTCTGGGTATAGGTAAGAGAAAGATGGTCTCCTTTTATCTATTTCTAAGATAGGTGAACCTTATTGGTATTACTTTTAACTAGAAGCCGGAGGGGTCATTTTATGATTAGGAACATTCACATGTATTGTTCACCAGGCTAGCTTCTGGGTCCCTGTAAGACGAAGAAGACTGAGCTTAGAGAATCAGATAGGCCAATAATGAATATATTGTGTTTGTTTAATAAATAGGGAATGTGGAAACCAAGCAAGAATGATTACTAGGCCATAAGGTCTTTAACAAGGGCTAGAAAAGGATGTCATATGAAAAGGAAGGGTGGTAACTTCTGACTTTCAATCATTCATTGATGTACTGTGAAACTTTTTCATTAAATTAATATTTATTGAGTGAAAGTGGTTTTTTCTGGTATACGACTCCCAAAATCTTTACAATGAGGATAAAAGTAAATAGATGCAAGTTAATGTCAATAGAAAAATTCTGGTATACGACTCCCAAAATCTTTACAATAAGGAGGATAAAAGTAAATAGATGCAAGTTAATGTCAATAGAAAAATTCAGTATTGAATCTACACTGGCAGAAAAGGGATAAAATGGGGATGGTACCTCATGAGGTTGTGAGGACTGAATGAGAGTATGTATTTGTATAGTATCTGGCACATATATGTGCTCAATAGATGTTAGTTTCTTTTTTTTTTCACCTTTCTATCCTGGAATCTTTTACATCTTTTTCATTTAAAATCTACTGTGGCCAGGAAGAGAACCTCGGCTTGTCAGTCACACTGCATGGCAGGACATGCTTGAAGACAATGATATGGTGCAAGTACCACGTGACTAAAATGATGAACTCATCATTTTTGTGTGAGCTTCTGGATGATGATAGTAGTTTCCTACTGTTTCAAAATACTGAAAATATCGTGATGATGACAATTTAGTTGAACATGTGATTTTAAAGAATACTCATTCTGGGTAATCTGGGAGGGACACCTAAGTAGGAAAGATGACTGGCAGTTGAAAATTTTGTGGAAGTTAGAATCCTGATGTAGTCATGATAAGTCATTTAACTGAATAATGATTCTTGCACGTGGAAGAATACCACAGTGATCAGTCAGGATTTAAATGGGTGGTGAGTGGCAGTAGAGAGAAGGCAGGTTGAGTGGCTTAGCACAAAATGATAAAGTCTATGAAATCTTATTGTTGTTTCTTGGCTGCCCATTTAAGTCGAATTTATAAAATTTATTTACTTAAATATTTTTTTTAAAAAATTGAGTGTTAAAGACAATACTTTCTAGACATTGTGCTAGGCGTCGGATAAAAGGAACAGTGAGCTTTTGGTTAGCCTAGAAAGTAAAAGACATTATATACATAGTTGTGTGGGTATTACTAAATTACAAATTTTGGTAAGTGCTATGAAGAAAAAATATAGGAAAGCAGAAGAGAGTATCAAACGAGGAAATCCCTAAAGAAATGGCATTTAAACTGAGACCTTACGGATGGGGAAGTAAGCCTGACATACAGTGAGAAGAGTCTTCCTGGAGGACTATATGTGTGAAAACTCTGAGGCAAGAAAAAAAGCATAGTTTGTTTGAGGAACTGCAAGGGGGCAAGTGGGAAGGGAGCATAGTGAGGTGAGATGAAAGTGGTGCATAATGAAACAGCATTGCTCTTTCATGCTGTATGTTAATTTTTTTTTCGGAGGAGGGAAAGAAGCAGACAATTGCTATTTTAACTTTTTACCCATAATTTTATTTGTTTTTTGAACATAGTTCTGGAAAACGGGACACAGTAATTGTATATTCTAAGAAAACTGGGTCTTTCTCTAACTTGGCCACACTTTTTTTCCAAAAGAGGGATTATATTTCTGGCATCTCTGACTTAGGCATAACAGGTATTTCCAAGCTAACTAATGGAAAAGAGAAATAAGATATATACTATTTAAGCAAGTTAAATCTGGGCCAGAGTTTGTTTTGATCCCCACCTCCAATCTTGCTTTTTTCAATTTATACTTTATTGTTAAAAAAATTCCAACATAGCTAGGAACTGAGCAAACACCCACCTGGATAAAGTATCTAACTGAAACTTGACAATGTACTTTAAACTTAGAATAGTCTGACCCAGTAATTTTCAAATCATGCTCATGGAGAATGCTAGTGTTTTTCATGTTAGATTTAGGTGTTTCATTAACAAATTTGAATAGTAATGTTTCTTTCCCCCCACCATTTTTAAAGAAAAAAAAGTAAGCTAATGGATAGACTCTTCTTAGTCTTAACCCTGCTGTAATAATTTTTTAAAATTATTTGTTTACCGTAACTCATTTAAACAAATACGTAGCAAATACAGTGGAAGGCTGGGAGGATCCATTATGCTTAATTTAGCAGACCGTTTTTACCTGTTTTGGAAATAAGAGTTAGTGGTTATGCTATGTGTTAGAAACATAAAATATTGTCATATGCTGAAAAAATAGTAGTTTGTATAATGAAATTAAATATATCATCACGTCATAGTAATCTAGCAATAGCTCCAAGAGCTCACAACATATGAACATATCTGAAAAATAACTGGAAATTTTGGTGTTTTTGTATGACGATGTTTCTCTTAAAGTAATGCCACTGAGTGGTTAAAAAGACATATATGATTAAAATTCCATAGATAAGTCTATTGTGAAAGAGAGGAGAAAAAGGTGAGTTAATGGAATAAAGACGGAAATAGTTCATCACATCCTGACATTAAAAAATTAAATTCGTTAGAATGTTGTTTTAGACCATATAATATTTTTGATTTACTACTCTAATCCATTTAATGAAATGAGATAGTCTTGACACCTTTCGTTCTATAAATACAAAGCCAAAACTATTCAAAAGGCATTGATAAAATAAAGAAATCAAATGGAAGCAAAACCAAACAAAACCATGCTCTTCAGTGTTTATCATAGAAAACTCAGAACATATTTCTGAAAATCATAAGTAGGAATGATTTGATAATTTTAAATGGTGAGGCAAAAGGCAAAAGATGTGTGAAGACAGAGCAGACAAGAGAGATCAAAGGAAGAGAGAATTTTAGACTTAGAAAAAATCTGCAGAACATTTTAAAAGGCTAAATTAACACATCAGAAATAATCTTCTCTCACCATAGCCTTCTGACTTGATTCATCACCATGAAGCTGAAAGCAATAAACTTTTAGAAACTCTAGTGGGAAATCATTATTTATCAATGAATATTGCGATAAATTAAATCAGACCAATATTGATTTGATCAAATCATTAAGCCTTAATTTCAGCTGCAGTTGGAAGTAAAGTTAATATTTCTTAAAAACTTCAGAAGGGTGTTTTGACGCTAACCATAGATAGGTTGCATTAGCAAAGGTGGAAATAGTTCTTTATTTGGCTTCATTTAAGCAGCCCAAACATTTATTTTCATGAATTTGAAGCCTGAAATTCAGATTTTTTGACATTTGAAAACTATTTTAGGTATTTCCAGCCTGAGGAAAAGGTATAAAATGGGTCTCATATAACCTTACTGTCCAACACCATAGCCACTAGACACTTACGGCTATTTAAATATAAATCTAAATTTATACAAATAACATTTTAAAATAAAAAATTCAGTTCCTCAGTCTCACTAGCCATATTTCAAGTGCTCAAAAGTCATTCACAACATTTCCACATGTTTTACATAACATCCCCGATCACAAAACACTGTGTTTATATCACTTTGTATTCCTTATCATGATTCAAGAGATACACATTTTGGCTTTTGTTTTTTTATTTTTGCTTAAATATATAAAGGATTAAGTAAATATTTTCACATTTATTTTAGAAACAGGATTAGAGAGGATTACTATTGAGCTCAGAAGCCTATAAATGGGATAAAGACAGTAATTGACCCACAGATAAATATCTTAACAGTGTGCATTCCACATGCTCTATTTACATAGTCACAGTTCTGGTATTTGTAGTTCTATTCAGGTAAGCACGAAGATGAACACATGTGCCAAAAATCTGAAGGAAATGAATTATGGAATCTAAACAAAAAAAAACAAACCAAATGGATTATTGCCTGTATTTTCAGAGATACTGTGGAATACCATGGTCAAATTTCTGTGTATAATTTTTGTACAGTGACTGACTTATCCCAGTTTGCCTGGGACTTTCCATGTTTTAAAACTGAAAGTCTCACATCACAGGAAACTCCCGAGTCCTGGGCAAACTGGAATGGTTAGTCACCCTCGAGGTAAGGGATGGTGGTTCATGTTTCTTATAGATTTTCCATAGTAGCAGCTTATAGTAGGAATTGAATAATTTTTCTATATTATACAATGGTTAATGTAGACTTCTATATTGACAGTTATGTAATTGTTAATATAGACTCAATATAACCTGGCCCAGTCTGCCTTTCTAGTTATTCCACTTTCATGAACCTCATGTTCTAACTATACTGAATTTCTTGGCTTTCCCAAATCATGCATTTTCACATCACCATGCCTTTGCTCAGGCTATTTTCTGCCTGAAATGACTTTTCTGTCCCTCTGAACATACATTCAACTTATCCCATATGGTCCAATTCAAATAGTCACCTAGCCTCTGATACTTCCCTTTCAACTTCCCCTATTCCCCAATAAAGTGGCTTTCTTCCTCAGTTGTACTACCAACATTGAAAAAAAAAATTCTTATAGCATTTGCTTCCTAATATTTGTCTACATTTGCTTTCTTTTCTAGACTACAAGTACAAAAAGCTCTTTTTATTAACAATGTCTATCTATTTTTGGTACATAGGAATGCCTGTTAAAACTCATTATATAATGCTATATAAATTTTAAATCTTATCTTACATGCCTTATCTCATTTCATCCTCTCAACAATTTTGTGAGCTTGGCAAAGTTGATTGCAGTGTATTTATTTGGTTGACGAACCAACAGGCTTAGAGACAATGACTTAACCAAGGTTAAATAGAGGTTAAGTGTTGGGAATAAATCCCAGGCCTCCTGCCATTCTTTCTACTAAATCTCACTGAAGGTTAAAGGTTGTCGACAGACAGGATTAGCCGTGCGTTGGTAAAATGCTGATCAATAATATCAATAATACTTGGAAAACAGGCTTTCCGTAAAAGCTTGCCTTGTCTTAGCCCATCCTTCGAACCCCATTGGGGAAGCAATTCTCCCTTCCCCAATTTATTTCTATCTGGTAAGAAACGTGGGCCAAACCATTTGATCTTGTCACATTGCCAACACTCCACAGGCCACTAAAGATTCACCCTCACTGAATGAAATTAGTTTTACTATTAAAAGGAACTCTTTTATACCACGATTGTCAGGATTTTCGGTTTCAGTGTGCCTTTCAAAATTTCAGACCTCTCGTCTGATGGATTCTTTCTACTTTGTCTCTATTATTTACAAGCTTCAAGATGCCAGATAACTAGCATTGTCTAAAGGAGAAAACCCCGTGTTAGGCATCTAGCAGAAAAAAGTTGTATTCCCGATTATTGCGATTTTGTGTTTTATCTTTACTCATCCCACCAGTTAAAGGGGCGCAATGCCACATCCACCTCACAGGATGCCGCAAGGATTAGAGACCCGAAAAGTAAAAGCGACTTGCAACCCTATAAAAATGCTATCATATTTTCACACTTCTGTGGTTTGCTAATATAATATGATTTACTTAATTTTGACAATAACATGCTTCTGTCCCCAGTAAAGCGAAGTTCAAGTCGCTGTTACTTTCTCTCGAGGTTGCGGGCTTCACTCTCAAGGGACTCCGGAGGCCTCTTAGAGAAGGCGCGCCTGCAGTGACGCGTTTATCTGAGCGACTGACGTCATTGCCAGGCGCCCGGAGGCACGTTGGCCGGGGCTTCGGCGGGGCTTTCTGGGGGCAAAAATGGCTATGGCCAGCGATTTCTACCTGCGCTACTATGTAGGGCACAAGGGCAAGTTTGGACACGAGTTTCTGGAGTTCGAGTTTCGGCCGGACGGTGAGCGGAGGAGCCGCGGCCGGCGCTGCCACCTAGCGCGGTGCTGGGCCTGGGGAAGCGGGCGGAGGGGCGTGAAGTGTGCGGAGGGGACTGAGGCCACTGCTAGAGCCCAAGTAAATAGGAGCTTGAGAATACAGGAGGCATCAATTGGTTTTTTAATAGTTAATCGGTGTAATTCAGCAAAGCTGATCCTGCTAGATCAGCATCCTAGAGTCTGCTCACCCGAAAGGACGTTAAAGGCCATCTAATTTATCGACTTAATACTTGAACGTTTTAAAGAACATCCTCATCATGCAGTAGTCCAGGCGATGCTTAAAATCTTCCGGTGGCCGGTAATTTTTAGATTTACCCACTCATTCATTTTATTCATTCTGGAGCTGTATGTAAGGCAACATGTCTAGAAAAACTAATGAGGCCCGCTCTGAAGGGGGAGCCCAACGTGTAGAAGAATGAGTGTAATGATGTGTTGTCGGTGCTTAAATACAGTTGTTCTCTAAAGAATGCATTAATAGTAAAAAATACGGGAGTGGTTAGTCCTACAGGAAGGAGTGGGGAAAGCTTCCTAGAGAAGGTCACAGTTAACATGAGTCTTGAAACAGGTGGTGGTTGTTGTTATTATTATTATTATTATAACTTGGTCTTTGAAGGAAAAACGCAGTGAGAGCAGCATGAGCAGAAGGCGAGATAAAACTGGTGCCCATGAAGTGTGCAGCAAATTCTGTCTTTTAACAACTCTGATTCTCTTTGAGAGTGTTTTTGTATATTGAACTCTTGGAACAAAAACGGTCCAACTGCACAGACTTTTCTTTTTTGAATGCATACTATGTGCCAGGCATCACGTAAATACAAAAATCGAGGGTACAATAACGAGGAAGATTTTAATTTCTCATAAGGGGTTATATCTTGATGGGCAATACAGACATGAAACTAACCATAAAGCAGTATGGATATTAAGTATTAAGTTCTATGTTCATGTTTTGGACAAAGTTCTGTGAGAGCATGAAAGAAAACTTAGGGGAGGATCACATATTAGGAAAGGGGAAGAGTATCAGACATTTCAGACAGAACGCAAGATAACTACAGCTCTGCAATTATTTAGAAACCTTATTCTTCCTTGTTCTCCCAGGTCTCTTCTAAATTTAGCTAAGCAGCCAATTTATCTGAATCCTCCATCTGTTCTTTCCTTATGTGATACTGTTTTCAGTGCCTTTGCTGGTGAATAGTTTTCAGCTTTTTATATTACTTTTAGCCAGTTACATACATTAAGTAGTCTAATATTATCCTGGAATTTTCATGCCAAAACAGTAGTTCCTATCCATTTATCTGCCACCATACTATTCACATACTTCCATCAGTAATAGTGATTCGTTAGGGGTTCGCTTCATTTGGCTAACCAATCATTTTAGAGGTCCAGGACCACATTGCATCTGTACTTGGGCAACTGACTAGCCATGAGGAGAAACATGCATTAGGGAGCACAAGTCATGATGGATTAAAATTAAATATAGATCAGCTAACAAACTGGCCAACTTTTATCCAGAAGCAGCACATAGTTTGTATGCTTCTTAATCATAGTTTAAAAATATTAGCATTGCTATATTATACATATATTAATTTGAAGGAAAATAAATAAAAGGACATTTTGGAGTGATAGGGAAAGCATGAGTATTGGAAGGAAGTAGATCTAGATCTAAATCTTTTGTGACCTTGGACAAGTACTTAACTCTGTTTTCTCAATTACAAATAGGCGAGAGAATAAAACCCATTTTTAAAGGTTGTTTTACTGATTAGATTAAATGCTCTGGATTAATCACTTAGTACCAATACAGACATAAAACATAAGCTTTAAAAGAAATGTCTGTTCCTTTTTCAGATTTCTTGTCTAGTTCAGAACATAGCTTAAGAAAATGGGCCTTAAAAATGGCCTTCCCATTATAATGAAGGCATGGAATATTTAGAAATTATATCAAATGCATGGTATATTTAAAATTTTGACTAGCTTCAACTGCAGCTAATTTATCAGCAAATCGTGGAGTGTCTACATGTCTAGCATTGATATTATGGTAGGAGGGAAGAAATTTTAATTGTAGTAGTATAAAATGGTCTTTATCTTCAAAATTGCTTATGATATCATTTCTTTATTTTTTTTTTTTAGCAGTTTTTGCTGTTTTAGATTGAATTTTTTTCCACTCCCCACAGGAAAGCTTAGATATGCCAACAACAGTAATTATAAAAATGATGTCATGATCAGAAAAGAGGTAAGTTCTTTTTGAATGTCTAACTTTTTACATTTAGTCATTTTCCTCATATCTGTATTGAACTTACAAAAGTACATATAAGGCTATAATATAAAAAAAAGCCAATTTATAGATTGAAAAGGGATTTTCTTTAAATTATAATTTTAGCATCTGTAAGAACAAAAGCAATCTGAATATATTAATTTGTAGTCCCACATTTGAACATATCATTTATTTTATAATTAAATTGTCCTTTTACTCTTTTCACTATTTAAAATGATAATCATTATTTAGACAGAGTATGAATTTTAAATGAAAGGCTCAAAAGCTGGGGAAAAGAAAAAGTTCAGATGACTAGTGTGTGTACTTGTATTTGTCTCTGTTCATCTCATAGCTTTTGCATTGTCACCACTAACCACTTGGAGATATTTGAGTCCCATTTTACCAAGGCAGTATACAAGGTTTTAAAAGCGGGCTAAGTAATGTGAAGATGGAAAAATACATATTAAAGGAAAAAGAGAGTGAAGAAAAATCTTAAGAAGGATGAATTATTCTCTCTCTTGCACTTTGGAATCAGTATTAAAATTTTCCTTGATATTCTATTTAAATATTTAGGATTCGTAACTCTTATTTTCTTTTGAGTTGTGAAGGAAATAGAGGCATTATGGAATTTTTATTATAACTTATTTTCAGGCATATGTACACAAGAGTGTAATGGAAGAACTGAAGAGAATTATTGATGACAGTGAAATTACAAAAGAAGATGATGCCTTGTGGCCTCCCCCTGATAGAGTTGGCCGACAGGTTTGTATTTAGTGATTCTTTAAGTGAATAAATATTAAAAATTGATAATATAATTGTTGTTTCTTCTTAATTTAGAATAGATCCTCACTGAATTTTTAGTTTTCCATTTAGTAGATACCTGATAAACACTCTTTTAATTTTTTTTTACTTAGCCTCATTTTCTGTGCTGCCTCCTAGTAGTAAAGGAGTCCATCCATAGCTCTAAATTTAGACATTTTCTGTACAGTCTATAGTCACCCCAGCCAACGTTAGGATGTTTTTACACTGTGATGAATAATTTCTATAATAATCACTTTTATTAGGAATAAATACAGATGGCTGTTAAATTCGAGACTTAAGATTTTCATTTACTATGTAAAATTTACTTTCTCCAAATTTATAGCTTTGAAAACTCTTATTTGCATCTTTATGCCCCAAAGAGGGATTTGGTGGGTTTCTTCGTTCAAACTGACCACTGCCTTTGCCTCTCTTATTCCTTTCAGAGTAATTGATGTTTCCCAAAGGGCTTCTGAAGAGCTCTCAAGGCCTAATTTCACTCTGTAGAAAGAGTTTGATTTCTCAACTGGGTTTTTCGACTCTTGGAGAAATGAGATATGATCCCTAGAGGAAGAAACATTTAATTTCACTTTTGTGTGTTCCCAGGATTGTACTTGATAACACTTTCTTTGACTAGAAGAGAATATGGAGAAGTATTAACAGCTGTTGACACTATGTAGCAGTGACTTAACTCTTCTATTTAAAGAAACATTATTTAGGAGAGCAAAGGTAATAGTTAACAATATTTATGCATTGTAAACCCTCTTAAAAAGTAAATTTAGATCTCAGTTTGTTTTATGCCTATGTACATAAATACTAAAAAACAGAAACTACAGCAGTAGACCGTTTATCTCCTTTAAATTCAGGATGAGCCCAGTATTTTCATCTACCCCCTTGATATGGTCATGTGTTTCAGATATTGGGGAGGATTAGGCATGCTCTAGAAATTGTTTAGTCTTTAAGTAAAAGATTTTATGATCGTTTGAGAACCTTAGTTAATTCTCCATAAACTGCATAATTAAGTCTTCTGATCAGTTATATAACTATGACTGTCTAATCACATCTGGTATTTAACCTGAGAAATCACCACAGACATAACCTCTTAATTGTTGATTTTAGATTTGCAGATAAAATGTAGAGAAAAATATACAATAATTATGGCCTAATGGGAACATCTATATTATGTTGTGTTTGTTTTACTAGTTCTTAATTTCATTGTTTTGTGAAGTCAAAACGTATAGTCTTTCAGTCTCGTAGTCCAGGATTCAAATATCAGTACTATCACTTATTGGTGGTTGTAAATATCAACAAGTTTTTTCCAATGCTTTCTGAGTCTTGGATTTCACAGTTGTAAAAGTAGGCTAATAAAGCCTACCCAATAAGTGCATTTTAGGGATTATAGATAATATTTGTAAAATCTCTGGTGGTGCTATTATTAATATTATGCATTTTATTTTTAGAGCTTGGTAAGAGTAATTGTTTGTATTTATTATATTAAAAATAGGCTTATACCCATATTATTACACTATTGTGCTTTAAAGTGATGCCTTCAGTTTTTACTGACGTTACAAGAAACATTTATGTGTCACTGTTCAGTATGTTATTCATTTTATAGTATCCTCTTTATGAGATCTCTGGAGAGCAGTTTTGATTGGTCTTAACACTGGGGACTCCTGACTTTTATTTTTTCTTTTATAGACATAGTTTATGTCTAACAGATCAAGATCTTTTTGTTTTTGTTTTTATTTTTGTTTTTCCCATCTTCTCTATGACTGCTAGAAAACTTGCTAGCATGAATACAGATATCTCTGGGAGGGATTTTTATGTTAACTATATTCTTTATTTTATTTTTTTTCAGGAGCTCGAAATTGTAATTGGAGATGAACACATTTCTTTTACCACATCAAAAATAGGTTCTCTTATTGATGTAAATCAGTCAAAGTGAGTATGTTAAAGCTTTTTCACTAAAGTGATACAATTTATTAGGTTTATTTTGGAACTGTAACCAGTTTGCTAAGATTATTTCAGTGACACCCTAACAGTTTATTATACAAATGTAATTTTGATTTTTATGTCATTAAAGACTTCTTAGCAAAGAAGATAACAGTGTATTTTATTGATTTCAAAAAAAAAAAAATCTTGATCTGACGTCTATGTATAATAATGCCCAAGTTTCATTAGCTACTTTTTTGTAACAATCTGGACACAGTGTCACAAATTTAAAAGATATCCTATTGGATGTCAGCCTCATTAGCCCCATGTCACATCATTTTCCTCTTTGGGTTTAATACTTCAAATAAATGGAAAAAATCTAGTATAGCTTAATGGCTTTAGCTACTTATGTCTTCTCAAGTTCTGTGTCCCTGTAGCTCATATTATTGTCTCTACTTGAAACATCTTTCTTTCTCCAGTTAATTCTCTCCATTCTTTCCCTTTAAAAAGTCCTCATAGATCTCTTATTCCTATCACTCTGAATCGTAATAACTTATTTGTTTGCTTTACTGGTTTGAACATAGTCTCCATGAGAACCTTGTATATCTCCAAAATTAGCACAGTACCTGGAATATAATAGATACTCTATGAATATCTATCAGAGGAAAGGAGGAAGGAAGGAGTGCATAGTAACTATTGGATACAAAAGGCTATGTTCATACAGACTGACCAGATACTTTTAAACTATCAATTTTTCTACAATGAAGATGTGGCAGTCATATCCTACTGGGATTATAAATTGGTACAGTGGCAGTGTTTTTTGGAAAGCAATTTGATAATATACTTCAAAAGCCATTAATATTTTTCACTCATCTTTGTCCTAGTAATTTCATTTCTGAGTGTCTGTTCTGTGGAAATATTCTCAAATAATGAAAAAGCTCTATTATCATAAAGATGGTCATTGAAGTCTTATTTATAATTGGGAAAATATCCAAACTCATAACATGGAGAGAATTGTTAACTAAAAATTATATATGAATTTTTAAAAAATGTAATGGAAAAAGTAATGTTAAAAAGGACACAAAGAATGATTTGAGTTATCAAAAAAAAAAAAAAAAAAGAAACCCAGCAAAATATTTGTAGCTATTCTGTGAGGAGTGACTATTATAAGCATTATTTTTTCTATCTTTATAATTTTATCTGCTTTATACATTTTGTGATACATAGCTATTTTATAAGCAAATAAACACTTTAAGTATGAAATGAATACTGGTGAAGAAAATTTTATTTTTATCTCTTTCAGAAAAGATAGAGATGGTAATTGTTCAGTATGTTCATTTTAGTTTTAGGCAAATCTTTCTCCTTAATTCCTTTAACTTAATTGTTTTAGGTTTTGGTTTTTGTTTTAGAAATTATTTGTAAAATTATGTTGTTTCATGCTAGGATCAAAAAAATAACTTTTACCTTTTTAAATTTTAGGGATCCTGAAGGCCTTCGAGTATTCTACTATTTGGTACAGGACCTGAAATGTTTAGTTTTTAGTCTTATTGGATTACATTTCAAGATTAAACCAATCTAAATTGTACGTTTTTTGAAGCTGTTTTTATATTTAATTAAGGGATGGGTAAGGGAGAGTTTATTTGTCATTTACAATTTTGGGATTTTTATGAATGTGAAGCAGAAATTTTTTGTATGCAAGCTGAAATAAGAAAATACATTAACAGGCTTAATGGTTATCTTCACTTGTGTCCAAGTGGGTTGGACCGTTTCTACACATTAAATTTTGTAAATAAAAACTACCTTCAGTTAAAATTTTGCTCTAATAAACTTATCAAAGCCTGGATCGAGAATGTTTTTTTTCAGGAGCCTATGTCTCTTATTCACTTTAAAGATAATAAAAAATTGTTCTAATAGGTACATACTATGGCAGAAGTTCTTTCTGGTAGAAATATGTAGTAGGATTCCCATCCATTAAAGATAATTGTAGATCTTTCCTTATTTCTTCCATACCTGATAAGATTTTATTTTTTGGTGCTTATAGAGGTTATTTACAGAAGATTCTGTATTTTTTACATTTAACATAAACTCCTCAGGGATTATTTACATTTAAATATTTTTGGTATAAGCAGTGATTTCCTTAAGAGTTTCAAAGGTAAAGTCAGTACCCCAAGTCAGGCATATCTGTTACTGTGCTCTTGCTTCACAAATACATATTTTGTATATCTGTGGGAACTAAATGAGTTTTCAGCTTAAAAATTTATTTAAAATTTAGACTTAAATGTGTATATGTTTGTGCGGGTATATCTATATATTTATATTTTAACTCCTGAGGAGCACAGGTCCCCACTATTATTTCCCAGTTCCCTTCAACTTCTTTCTGATAAACTTGACCTTTCATTACGTCTGTCAGTAACCATGCCCTGGTATCTGTTACAGCTTCGTCTGAACCCCCACTCTTTAAAAGTGCAGTTCTGGTAGTCATAATCCACTTGCCCAGAGACCAGTCAGTACTGACCTTAGGGTGAAAGAACTGGTCTCTGAAGGCTTACAGTGGCTCTGTCCAGTAAACTTCTTCAAGATAATAGAAATGTTCTGTATCTGTGTAGTCCAGTAGGTAGCCACTGGCTACTACATGTGGCTACTGAGTATATAACTGAATTTATTGTCCTGTTTAATTAGAAAAAATTTTTTTAACATGAAAAATTTCAAACAGAAAACTGAAAGAATTATACAGTGAACATATGTCAATCTAGATTCTAATATTGTAATAAGTTTTACAATAAATCATGTGTTGTTGATTTTCCACTTAAAGGTGAAATAACTTGTGTAAATCGTACCAATAGAGCAATTTTTTTTAAGCGCTATTTAATTTTGATTAAATTTAGATAGTCATGTGTGGCTTGTCGCTACCTTTGGACAGTGTAGCTCTAGCCTGGCTTGGTAGCCCGTTTTCTGTGGAGTATTATCTGGTCCTTTACGTTGCATGAAAATGCATGGCCTGCTACCCTGAACAGGCCTGATCCTGTCTGATCTCAGAAACTAAGCAGGATCGGGCCTGGTTAGTACTTGGATGGAGACCACCTAGGAAGACCAGGGGCTGTAGGCATAAAAAATATATAAAAAAATAAGGGATTGTAAGCTGATAAGGTCCTTGCAATCTGAGAGGTCAACCAAGGGTTGCCTCACCTAAAAAAAAAAAAAATGTGTGAGACCTGTGAACATGGGTTGTACTATAAGTTGAGTCACTGATCCATATGATTTTTTAGAAGACTATTAGAGCAGTTTTAGGTTCACAGCAAAATTGGAAGGAAGGTACAGAGATTTTTCACATACCCCTGCCCCCACACTTGAGTTTGTCTCCCTCATTATCAACATCCCCCACCAGAGTGGTACATTTGTTATAACTGATGAACCTACATAGACACATGACCACCCAAAGCCCATTGTTTACCTTAGGGTTCACTGTTGGCAATGAGTGAATGGTTTGGGAAACATGTATCCAACATTATAGTATCACATAGAGTATTTTCACTATCCTAAAAACCCCTGTGTACCACCTATTCATTTCTCCCTACCCCAATCCCTGGGAACCACTGATCTTTTTATTGTCTCCAAAGTTTTATCTTTTCCAACGTGTCATTTAGTTGGAATCATAGTATATAGCCTTTCCAGATTGACTTTTTAAATTTAATATATACATTAAAGTTTCCTCCGTGGTTTTAATGGCTTGAAAGTTCATTTCTTTTTAGCGCCGAATAATATTCCATGTCTGGATGGACCACAGTTTAATTTACCCATTCATATATGAAGGATATTTTGATTGCTTCCAAATTTTGGCAATTATGAGTAAAGCTACTATAATTCAATGCAAGTTTTTGTGTAAACATTGTTTATTGATTATTTTAATAATTGGTTTTCTAGCATATGAGATAATGAGCTGAAATAGAAAATTTTTAAAAATAATAAAAATAAACAGGAAAGGTAAATGAGTACTTTGAGAGTGAGCTTAGAGTCTGAACTGTGTGATACAGTGGAGAGAACTCAAGAATCAACATTCATAGTTACAGCACTGCTTCACAGAACTATTTTCCCTTTCAATGTGTGAATAGACTTTATCCCTTAGTGGCACAAAGCACAAATAGCCATCTAAAAGTCTTTCTTTGTCATTATTTCTTTATGCTTGCATATTTCCTGAGGTGGCCTTCTCATTTAGCTACTTAGAAATTGGAGGAAAGATGATTACTGTTCGATTGACTGCTAGAGGCCAGCTAGGACAATTTAGAGGATTCTAACTCTAGAGCAGTAAAGATAACGAGGACAAAGGAGGTAGCTAATTAGGGGAAGAGGAAACCTCGAACAAGAGTCTTGGATTTTTACTGTTAAGAGCCGAGAAATTTAGTTTTGCTCAGTGGCCTAAAATGTTAGGCATTAGGACACATATTCCTGGAGGTGAGAACCTGGCCAGGTGAGTTTACTCCTCCCAGGAGTATTCAGACCATCTTTGCTGTGGAGCTGGGGGTTGGTTATTCCAGACGCCCTTCAATTCAGCCTAGGACAGGAAGAGCAGCACCTGAAGTTTGAGTAAGGGGGCCAACAGACAGAAGGTTCTTGTGGCCAGCACATACATTTTTCTCTATTATGAAGATTCAGCGGGGCATATAAGCCTGGTCACAGGATTTTATTTGTGTTTCTTGGGCAGAAGGCCAAAATGAGTATCACCAAGGGGTAGCAAACTTAGGACTTCATGAATGTTGGTTATTTGTGTATCATATGTGTTTTATGTATGATATTTAATGTTGACTTGGTTCTTCCTTTTCTATGTTAAGCACACAGGTGCTCTACTTACTGTATCTATACTAAACATGTCTCCTGTTTACTAATTTACTTATCCATACTTAGCATATCTCATGTGTTCTGCAGATGCCTCACAAGCTACCTAGTTTCATTTATCTTTCTCATTTGCTTGTTTCTCTTTTTTTCCTGTAGCAGATTTGAATATTTTAAAATAATACAGCATATACAAATTATATGAAGGATGGTTTGTGATTTTGTATTCTTAAGTGGAATTGTTCTTCTCTTCTGCTTCAATCTAAGGTTTAAGACAGTTCTTGGGTGATTTATGGCGAAGATATATCCTTTTGGCGTCACAACTCTATGTAGCTTGTCTTCTATTTGGAATCATGGGTGGGATTCCTTATTCAGCCTATTCTATCAATAAAGGGAAAAACTGGCTTCAGTGCTTTATTATCCTCCTGGGTTTCTATCTTCATTTAATACTCAGCCTGAGTTACGAATCTGCTGCTTGCCAGTTCATAAATTTATTCAAAGTTTAATTTTTTTTTTTTTACATCAGCATTTATAATTGTTTTCAATAGGAAAATAGTTCTAGGTAGAGAGCCAGAGGAGAGAAAGAGTAATCAGGGGGATTGTTTTATAAACTCTATAAATGTCTAACCAATGTACTGTATATTTGAAACAAAAAAAAAAAGTTAGCTAGGCTCTTTAATTGCAGCTTAAATTTTGTATGGCCACCAGATGGCACCACCACACAAAACAAGCTCTAAAATCAAGACTCAAATTTAAAAATAAATCTTGATGGTAAGAATAAAGTAATGAATATATTCCCATAAACGGCTACTTTATGAGGGAATGTTAGTATGCCATTACTGCAAGTAAATTTAGCAAGATATCATTTGTAGTATTAAGAAGGGTAGTACTTTTTGAGCTAATGATTCTGCTTCTAGAAATCTATCCCTCCTCACAAAATGTGTGTCTCTTCTTTAACATTTAGCCTCACCATTACCTCATCCAAACAGCTTTCCCTGGCAAACTCTTTGCCCCTTTGTCTGAGTCAGAAGCCACTCTTCTGTGCCCAAATGAAGGTGTTGTCTCCCCAGAATGTGAATCCTTTTAGGACAAAAAGAGATTTTTCTCTGTATCTGTATTTCAGAGCCTTGATGTATAATAGTGCTTTAGAAATGTTTGTTGTATGAATAAACAAACAGAAATAGGTAAATATCTAACTCCATTCTTGTCTACGGCAGTTTACTGAAACTATGATTTGTATCTGATCATTAGGCCCAGTTTTTCTTTTTTTCCCTAATTAAGAGATTCTACAGGGGTAAAATATTAACAACACCTGAGTATATACCACAGCAACCAAAGTAGTTGCTACTTCCTATACCAAGCAATTTTTATTTATTTATGAGATTTATGCTAATTTTGACCTCATTGAGTGAAGATAAATGAAGTAATGAACAATTTTGTTCATATACTTTTTACCTGAAGGATGCAGGCAAATGCTCTGTGCTCTTGACATTGCTCTAGTTGTGAGGCTAATGGCATGCACAAGAGGACTTGTAATTTGATGTAGATATTCAGAGTGTCAGAGTTTCATCTGCATGAGAAGGTGGTTGACAGGTGGCGTCTTTAACTTGATTTCAAGTGGAATTTATTTTAATGAAAAAATAAATATCATTCAGAAACTATTAATAGTATTCCTTTTTCCTCTATGTTAGCTAGATTTCCTTTCAATGTATTGTATCCCTTCTATACTTTGTGAAGAAATGGCCAATACATTTGAGTTATTTTGAATGGATGTTCAGAAATTGCACATTCTGAAATCAAGATGGACTATGACCTGACGACTTGCATACATATTTTTTTTCTGGTATCAAAATACCTTCAAATGGAATGAGTGTCATTTCTGTGACTTTCATTTGACCACTTTTAGGTTTCAAAAATTTTCACAATTAATAAAAGAATTAATAGTTAAAAATACTATAGAAACACATTGAATAAAAACTGACTCTATAACCCCTTCTAATTCCCCCTTCCAGTGTA